CACAGACATTGTTCTATTTGGAATTTTAAATGGTATATGCACACACAGAGAGAGACATGATGATACGCTTGTAGGAAATAAAGGACAGGCTGGGCATGCACCATATCGTTTTGGGCTTAGAAAAGGGGTGAAAGGAGTCTGATTTGAGAGGATCATGTTTTACTTTATAGCTATAGATACACAGATGGAGTTGGGTTGGTTTGTTTTTTAAAACAGCACTGGGTTGTGGGTGATGTGTGTGTGTGTCTGTGTGTGTGTGTGTGTGTGTGTGGGTGTGTGTAAAAGAGAGTTTTACATCCAAGAGTAATTGTATATTAAGAAAGCATCCCAGCCCAGTCCAGATCAAGTCCATAAGTTCAATATTAGCCCATAAGTCCTATATAAGCCCATATGTCTGATACTAGTCCAAAAACTATTCTACAGACTGATGCAGCACAGGCAATGATGCCGAAAGCAGGAAGATCCCAGGCGAGTGGGTGAAAATTCTTGTGGAAGCATCTCAGCGCTGGAGCGGCTCTCCATGTGGCTCCTCCAGCTCCCCGGCTCTGGCTGCCATCAGCATGGCTTCATGTGGCTTGTCAACAGAACATGAAGCAGACAGGGTGTGTATCTTGCCTCCAGGGAGGAAGACAGGAGTTACCAGAATCCTCAGGTGAAGGTGTGGGTGAATTTTATTCTTCAGATATGCTCAGCATTGTAAAACCTCCTGGTCGGAGGTCCTGGAAGTTAAATGCACTGCCACTAGGTCAATTCTGACTCATCTTACAGCATGAGTATCCCGGCAGGAACGAGTAGAACTGCCTTTGTCGTTTCTAAGCCTGTACCTTTTTTTTTTTTTTAATCATTTTATTAGAGGCTCATACAACTGTTATCACAATCCATACATGCATCAATTGTGTAAAGCACATTTGTACATTCATTGCCCTCATCATTCTCAAAACATTTGCTCTCCACTTAAGCCTCCGGCATCAGGTCCTCATTTTATGCCCTCCCTCCCCGCTCTCCCCTCTCTCATGAGCCCTTGATAATTTATAAATTATTATTTTGTCATATCTTTCCCTGTCTGACATCTCCCTTCACCCACTTTTCTGTTGTCCATCCCCCAGGGAGGAGGTCACATTTAGCTCCTTGTAATCGGTTCCCTCTTTCCAACCCACTCTGCCTTTACCCTCCCAGTATCACCACTCACACCACTGGTCCTGAAGCCTGTACCTTTTTATGGGAGTAGAAAGGTTCATATTTTTCCTGTGCAGCAGCTGGTGGTTTCAAACTGCGACCTTGCGGTAAGCAGTTCCAACATGTAACCCACTAGCCACCAGGGATCCTTACAAGGAATGAAGGCAGCTGTTTTTCATTCCTCACCTTGTAGAAAGAGAAAATCCTGCAGGGCCCAATTCAAAACTTAGAAGTTCTGCTTGTGGCACAAGTAGGTTTTTAAAGAGGTCTCAATTAACTCTGGGGTACAGCCCAGGTTGAGAACAACTGAGTCAAGGCATTGAGAGGGTGCTGAGTCTGGGAAGCTGATGAGTGTGTGAATCGTTCTCCCACCGCTTCAATTCTTCAGCTGAAGAAAGAAGTGAGTTCAATTGGAAAGCTACCGAAAGACTTAGCAAGGTCCAGGAAGACCTGAGGGTATTACAGACTGAGTTGAAGAAAATAAAGGGATACAAACGATTCGGCATGCAAGGAGAGTGATGGAGATGGGAAGGAAGAAATTGGCAGTATTTTGTGTAGGCATTACACTGCTAACCACAAGGTCGGTGGTTCAAACTCACCAGCCATCTCTTGGAAGAAAGATGACGTTATCTGTTCCTGTAAAGATTTTCAGAAGCCCCATATCAGATTTCTGTGAACTAGAATCTACTTGAACAATGATTCGTTCAGGTGTTTGGTTTGGTCTGGTTAATAACATGGCAGGTTTTTTACATAAGCTATCGCAATCATTCCACCACCCATCTGTCAACTTGCCATAGTGTTCTGGTGGTGTCTGTGTTGCTTGTGTGTCGCTGTGGTGCTAGAAGCTATCACCAGCAGGGTCACCCGTGGTGGCTAGGTTTCAGCAGAGCTTCCGAACTAAGACAGACTAGGTACAGAGGTCTAGAAATCTCCTTCTGAAAATGAGCTAATGCAAAGCCTGTGGGGCAGGCAGAATACGGTCTGATGCGTGTTGGTGTTTGGTGCTGTGGACTCAGTCCAGACTCCCTGAGTCGTTTCCAATGCTGAGCACCACAAAACAAAACACTGCCTGGCGCGGCACCACCCCCACCATTGTCCTGCGCCACCCTCAGTTAGGCTTGTGCCAAGATGGAAGCCACTGTCTACATCTGTGTATCTCCTGGGGGGTCTTCCCCCTTTTGCTGACCCCCTCCTTTGTCTGATACAATAGTAGAAAACAAGTCAAACAGGTGGTAAGGTGAAAGGAAGACCACGATCAATTCAAGCATACCGAAGGCAACACTTTCTTCGGATGGACGCAGGGCTGCCATGAGTAGGAGCTGACATGACAGCAACTAAAAAGAGCAACGCCGTTATATCTCCACTTAATGAATTGAAGGCATCAGTTGCTTCTTCTGGTTTGCACTGAGGTGAGTGCTGCTTTCTGCTCCCTTACAGATTCGGAGCCTTGGAAATTCGATACGGGGTGGCGGAGTCAGAATTGACTTAATGGCCATGGGTACGGGGTAAGTAGAGCTTGTGGAAGCTAAACGGATGTCAAAGACCCCCAAGCCATATGCCAGTGTGTGTCCTCTTTCCTCTATGGCAGCAGGCCAGGGAGCGAGATCCGGGAAACATGGGGTGAGAATGGAGCCCAGGACTCGGCTAGCGACGTCCGATCAGAAAAAAAGAAGAAGTAGAAGACGAAGATGAAGACGAAGAAGAAGAAACCACTCCTGCACGTACAGGGGCTGGTGCAGAGAAGGAGGCAATGACAAAAGGAAATGTGGGGCGGAGAGGAAAGTGGCTGAGGTTCACAGCAGATTCCTTCATCGACTCGGTAAAACTGAGTAGAAGGAACATCCGTGATTTGGGGAAACTGACTTTGTGCTCGACACCAGAGCAGCCAGCCAGCTTCCCCTTCTCCTTTGATAGTACTTTGTGGATTAGTTACTCAACAATCAGGGTACACATGGGTACCCTGAAAACCATGGGTACAGATTGTAAACCATGGGTACGGATGACCCAAGATGACTGCAGTCCAGATTTACTGAGACTGAATTGGTGTGTGTGTGTGTGTGTGTGTGTGTGTGTGTGTGCTCGCGTGTGCGCGTGTGTTTGTGTGTGTGTGCGTGTGTGTCCCGGGGAAGCCCTGCCCGGATCCCCCACCTGGACCAGAGGAAAGAAGCAGGGCAGAGGAGAGTTGGAGGGCGT